ACAAAACCTCTTTTTTTTTTTACACGACTGTGAATTCCTTTCATTCACAAGTCAGCAAGACTTTAACAAATAGTCGTTCAGAGGAATGTTTATCCACATGCACTTTATCCCGCTGCCAGATAACTAGCTTCTAAACACAGGGCAAAGCAAAAATTGGCACAGAGTCTCTGATAATCACGAACAGAACTTTCCGGACCGAAGGAACGAATTGTTTCCTGCAAAAGCCCCCTCCCCATTCGTTCATCTTTTGTTTCCTCTGGGAGGGGCCAATCACCTCCAAGGTGTGGCTTTACTCCCAAGTCGACCCTCCTTTCTTAGTTGCTCTTGTCTTCTGGCAGCTCTGCCCATGCGCACACTGGGAAACAGGCTCCAGCTGTTCTTCTGCCTCACTGCTGTCTATCTCCCTCTCTGCTTCCGACGCAGAGCCCTCATCCGAGCCTTCCCCAGCCTCCAGGACTGGCCCACGTTCCTCCCCAACCTCTTCACTCTCCGACTCTGCTGCCAATTCCGCTGACTGCCAGCGGGCCACAACAAATATTCTCAGTGAGGAATAAGGAAAGATCGGACTCATAATTTTAAAGAAAAGCAAAGACGATAAAACTGGGACAAATTCTTTTTGTCGTCAAGGACCAACCGAGGGCACAGGTAGTCCTCGACTTATGACCATTGGGCCCGACATTTCCGTGGCTAAGCAAGACAGCCGGCCAGTGTCTTTTGCCCCGCTCTAAGACGAGCCTCTGAATTTTGATCCCGTGACCATCGGGCGTGCTACCCGCGATGGTGAAAAACCACTTGTCCGTCGCTTTTTCCCAGTACGGCTGTCACTTTGAGCGGCCACTAAACGGATCGCTGTAAATCGAGGATTCCCTGTGCAGAGAATTAGGAGGGGTTTGAGGAAAGGGAGTGGAGGGGAAGAGACTTATCAACCTACCCTCTACCATCAGTGAATATTTCAAGGCGATGGAGTGGCTGCTTCTGTTCATTAGCTCCGAGATCTTTTTCCAGTTATTCCCATACATGGCGTGATATTTAAAGAGCTTTTTCTCTTCTTTCTTTGTATACCTTAAAAAGAAAAAAAGACGTTGGGAGAATTAAAGCCACCGCTCTGCCTTGAGATGACCTTGGCTTTAAAAAAGGAAAAGAAAATTATTAATAATGTTTGCAGTCCAGAGTTGAAATGAGGGCTCCTTGGTGGTCCCTGAGCTGGGTTGCTTCCTTGCGGACGTCTCATGGCCCAACTAGGTAACATCATCAGTGCTAGCAAGTGTGATTTGCTCCCTGTTAAATATCGTAGCTCTGAGCTTGTTTTCTTGCAGACATTTCACGACCCAACTAGGTAACATCATCAATGCTAGTAAGTGTGATTTGCTCCCCGTCAAATATCGTAGCTCTGAGCTTGCTTGTTTTTCTACAGACATTTCACGACCCAACTAGGTAACATCATCAATGCTAGTGTGATTTGCTCCCTGTTAAATAGTGTAGCTCTGAGCTTGCTTGTTTTCCTGCAGACATTTCACGACCCAACTAGGTAACATCATCAGTGCTAGTACGTGTGATTTGCTCCCTGTTAAATATTGTAGCTCTGAGCTTGTTCGTTTTCCTGCAGACGTTTCACGGCCCAACTAGGTAACATTATCAATCCTAGTAAGGAGTGCGTTTGCTGTCAGTTTATATTCTGGTGCCTTTCCTTGTCTGTATGAGTTGAGGCGGATTAGGTTAGCTCTGCCAGCTGCTGGCAGGCCACAACAGGTGACTTCTGCTAAAGAATAATTTACCGTCCTTACCGTCCGTTATAATTCTGAGGATCAAACATTTTCCTGGCTCGATAGTAAACTAGCCTCCAGGGCCGAGCGATACCCCGAGCTGTGGACAAACGACGGGAAGTTAGATGTCGTACAAACGACCTGAACAAACCACGCGAGCAAGAGACAGAATTATGTCTTCGGAATTATTGCAGGCAGTCCTCGAATTACGACCGTTCATTTAGTGACTGGTGACTAAAGGTACCACAGCACTGAAAGTCTAGGGAGATTCCCAGTCATCTATCAGCAAAAGAGGCAAATGGACTTTCTGGTTTTTTTTTTTGAAGACATTTCGCTCCACAACCGAGAAGCTTCTTCGGCTCTCTCTTCAGCTGTTCTTCAGAGCGGAAGAAGCTTCTCGGATGAGAAGCGAAACCTCTTCAAAGAAAAAAAACAGAAATCCCAGTTGCCTCTTAACCACAACAGCACTGAATATTTTTTCACACTTACAACCGTTGCAAAATCCCTGTGGTCACCCAAATTCAGCTGCTTGGCAACTGACTTGTATTTACGACGGTCGCAGCGTCCCGGGGTGTGTGTGTGTGTCACACGATCCCCTTTTGCGACCTTCTGACAAGCCAGATTCACTTAACAACACTTTTATTGACTTAACTGCAGGGGTTTCCTTAACAGCCGTGGCAAAAAAACCCGGGCAAATTTCCCTTAACAGCTGTCTCGCTTACCAACGGAAACGTTGGGCGCAGCAACTGTGGTCGTAAGTCGAGGACTACTCGTGACATGAGAGGGCACATCTTGGATGAGAATTTTTTTTCCCCGCCTACGGGGAAGTAAGCTGGCAAAAACTCACCGATTCTTTCACAAAACTGATATTGGCATTTCCGCCGCTTGATTTCGGCTTGCTCCTCCGGGAACCGGTGGGCAAACAGGAGTTTTTCGGGCGTCTCGATCCCGCTTTCTTCCAGAAACGCTTCGACGTTTTCGGTTAATAAGTCGTTTTCCGCTTGGGAAAACACGCCGAACCTCACCACCATGCCTGCAAAGAAAAGCAGAACGGAAATTGGAAGAAAGAAATAATGGCCAAAAGTTTTAGGCTAGTTTTATAATTGGCCAGGAAGGGACGCGCAGTGGCTCAGTGGCGCTAAGCTTGTCGATCAGAAGGGTTCGGCAGGTCGGCGGTTCGAATCCCCAGCGCCGCCGTAGCAGAGTGAGCTCCCGCGACGGGTCCCAGCTTCTGCCAACTCAGCAGTTCGGACGCATGTCAAAAATGCAAGAAAATAGAATAAAATTAGAGAAAAACATTACATGAAAATACTGACATGGCTTTCCACTATGGAAGCCATGAAACATCCCAATATACTAGATCTATCGAAAATGGTTAGATATAGCGAAATTTTAGACAGTCATAGGAATTTGAAAACAAATCTAGAATTAAAGGAGCAAAATATAAATATAGATTGGTGGCCGTATCTCCAACTACAATCGAGATACAAAAAAGACGTAAAAGAATATGGAATATACACAGAATTACAACAAATAGATAAAATTTTAATTGGCCGGGAAAATAAATTAATAACGAAAATTTACAAAGATTTATTAGAAGTAATATTAGAAGAAGAAAAAGTTAAATGTTGCATGATAGCGTGGGCCAAAAACTTTGTTTACAACATAGT